GCTCTGGGGAATAACATAGAGCCCTGTGCCCCTCCTTTTTTTTTTTTTTTTTTTTTTTTAGATTTTTTTTTTTTTTTTTTTTGAGACAGAGTCTTACTGTGTAACTTTAACTGTCCTGGAACTCGCTTTGTAAACCAGACTGGCTTCAAACTCACAGAGATCCACCTGCCTCTGATTCCTGAATGCTGGAATTAAAGGCCTGTGCCATCATGCCTGTCCCAGTCCTATGATCTTACAGCATAGGAAGCTGTCTACCTTTGAGGTTGGTCTAGTTTGAAATGGTATCACATTCACTACTTAAAAGGATTTAGAAGTTTTTCATGTCTGTCACTCTTTTCAAAGACATTTTGGTCTACTGCTTAAAATGCTTAGCCTATCCATGTTCTTGCTCTTTCTTCTGGTACATTTACATTCTTTTGTGTTCTTTTGTCCTGCTTCAAAAGAGTTACATGATTGTAATCTAACCTTTCTCTATGTAAGTACACACAGTGATTCCTTGTAAAGAGTACAAACAAATGCAGATTTACAGTTCTCTGGATCTTAGAGGAGGATTTTCTGCGTTCATTAATTTTCTCAAGTGTTTTGGGGACATGCACTGCTCCTGTTCTGTGCTCCTTGACTTTATAGTCCTTCCCTAGTGGAAGAGTACACAGAGAAAATATCACTATAAATTACAATTGTTATGATTAACAGTAGTATGGCATTTACTGAAAGTGCAAAAACAATTTTATAAACACATGGGTAAGCACATTTACCAGCAGGACAGAAAACTCATAGAAAAGTCAGCTTGAGGGACTGGACAGATGGCTCAGCAGTTAAAAGCATGGGTACTCTTGCAGAGGACCCAGGTTCAGTTCCCAGCACCCACATGACAGCAGCTAACAACTGTCCGTAACTCCAGTTCCAGGGAATCTGATGCCCAATTCTGACCTCTACAAGCACTGAATGACATTGGTATAGACAAAATACTCATACACATAAAATAAAGATAAATAAAAGGAAAAGTCAGCTTGGATGTTAAATTTATGAATATAGTTATAGAGAGATGCTATGCATCTCACAGTAAGTTATGGCTGATAAATCTATTGTAAGTTAAAAACAGCCTAACTTGAAAATGTATTTAGGACACCTAACCCACTGTTCCGGTTTCATTTCCAGGTGGTGTGATAAACTACCCTGATGAAAAGCAGCTTAGGGAAGAAAAGTTTGTTTTAGCTTATAGTTCCAGTTCTAGTTCATCACAGGGAAGTCAAGGCAGTAGGAACGCTAAGCAGCTAGCACACCTGCAGCCAAGAACAGAGAGAAATGAGTACATGCAACATACCTGCTTGTTTATGTTGTGCTCCGTTTCTCTATTCCTACACAGTCCAGGGTCCAGACCATGAAGTAGTACCACCCACATTCAGGGTGAGCCTTCCCAACTCAGTTAATCTAATTGTCCACAGGCCAACCTGATCTAGGCAATCCCTCACTGAGACACTTCCAGGGGTGATTCTGGATTGTGTCATGTTGACAAAGATAACAATCACACCTAGTGAGCACCATCATTTAGCACCACAGTCCACTGTAGATGATCAGCTATTTGTTTGTGTGCTGTTGTGACTGCCTTGGACTGCAGCCCACAGCCACTGTCCATCATGATGAGAGAGTACTGTACTTTACCAGCTTTCCACCTTAAGATTAGTAAATTAAATAATGCTAATTCAGAATTTGGAAAATTCTAAAGCTTACACCTTAAAACACAGCAGTATCTGGCCTGCCTTTGATGCATATTGATATTTTAGAGCCTGTCCTTCAATATGTCAGAGTCCTCTGTGCTCTGTAACTCTACATATTTTCATTCTTTAAGTAAAAGCCAAACCTATATCCTCTAATGGGTTAGATGTTGCTTGCTAAGATGTTTACATTTTAGGGTTGGTCCTAACATACTGAGACTGATGGAAAGACAGTAAATACCAGATTGTTTCCCCTAATTTTATAGTTAATCTCAAAGTTTAAACCCATTTATTAAAGAATTAAAATACCAATCAGGTATCATCTACCTTCAGACAAGCAAGGCATTGAATTGTTTAGGAAAGATTTTTTTTTCAAAGAACAGATAGACACAGCTTTTAGTTATTTAGTTACAATGCTAATCTGTTAACACACATCATCACCTCTAAATGTTTTACATCTTTATGGTAGTTAGTAAAATGTCTTCTACTTTATATATAATCTCACAATTATTAAACTGAATTTAATTAACTTCTGCCTCTAGTCAATATTGTAGCTAATTCTTCATGAAAGGAACATATAGCTGGCAGAATTCAAGTTAACTAGCTTTTACCAACTCTGGGATCTGAAACAATTGTTAGAACAGAAATATAACTCTTAATGAGCTTAAAAGACAGTTGGAGACAAAAGATAACTGAGAAACAGCAAGAGAGCAATGTAGGCCCACATGCTAGTAGATACCATTCAAGGTAACTACCAGACTAGTCACAGGAGGAGAGATAGCTAGGACAGGCATTAGGAGTTAAAAAAATACAATTTAAGCCAGGCAAGGTGGCACATGCCTTTAATCCCAGCACTTGGGAGGCAGAGGCAGGAGGATCTCTATGTATCCTGGTCTACATAGTGAGTTCCAAGCCAGCTGGGGCTACAGGGAGACCCTGTCTCAAAAAGACCAAAAAAATGTAATTTAAGTTCATAATTTATCTTTCCAGCTCTTTAAAAAATGTTCAGAATGGGAAATTAGACTGTGTTTCCTTTTGTATGAGGTCAGTCTATAAATTTCAAAGCCAGTCCTGAGGTTATAGGCAGTTGAACTCATAGACGGTAGTTCTCAAATGCATGTATTACTAGGGACATGACTGGAAGCTTTTTTGCTGTCTTTGAGGTGATGCCTTTAATCTGTTTTTACCTGGTCTTTACTCTAGAGTCTATGTAATAGATGTTGAATAAATGAGAACCTACGTGTCAGGAGCTTCTTTAAGGTACTGACTATAGCTTCTCTCTACAGAGATGATTCTCAGTGAACTATGTTGAAGGAATTCATTTTAGTGAATTAATCATTATTGTGGGAGAGTATACACAGCTGTGTGTGCAGGTGTGCACACTGAGGCCAGAGGAAGTCGCTGGGTGTCTTGCTCTATCACTCTCTGCCTTTTTCGCTTGGAACGGGATCTTGCATTGAGCTTAGACTGACAGGCGGCAAACCCCGGTGATCTTCAGTCTCTGCCCTGCCCCATAGTGCTGAGGGTGCAGGCACACACATGGCCACACTTGGCCTTCTACTTGGATGCTGGTGATTCGAATTCAGGTTGCCACACTTGCATAGCAAATGCTCTTACCCACTGAGCCATCTCCTTAGCCCCCTTAATCACTATTTCTGTTTCACACTTTTCATTCCTTACCTTAAGCAAATTACATAAACCCTCTCAATGCCTCAGATTTTATCTTTTTAGTCTGAAATAATTATGAACTCACAGAAGTTGTTAAATATAGAGAGGTCCTGAGCATCCATCCCCCAGATTCTCCCAAATGGATCTCTCACAACTGTAGTGTATCATTTAAGCCATCTAAGCCAGGAAAGTGACATTGTGCATGTTTTTTGGTTGGAAAAAAAACCCTATTTCAGAGTTGCTAGGCAGCTAAAATGAAGACACTGGCATGGAACAACTGGCCCCCAGCACAGCCAACGCTCAGCTAATTTCAATTCATCTCTTTTCCTTTCCTTCCCCTTCTGTTTTTTATTATACTTTAGGTTACCTGTCAAGCTCTATTCTTCAGAAAATTTTAAGGTACTCTTATCTCTCATAATATGCACTAAAACACTGGTAGTTGTGGATGGAATTATAAGACACCTTTAATTATATTTCTGTAAGATTTAAGAGTTCTTGTTTTTTTTAAAGCAATAATGTTTTTGTCATAAGAAAATGTAATAATTAAGAAACAAAACAAAAACTGTTTTAGGTAGCAAACCTTCCAGGAAATATAATATATGCCAGAAAGTGTTGTTAAAGAGCACAGCAACAAAAGCACATTCCTCAGCCATGTACCCCAGTGTGTTCCGGTTACTTATTTGTAAGGTCCTTGGAACACGTTTGAGTGAACATTCCAGCAGTGCAATGTGCTCACCGTGATGTCTGAAAAAGAAGACAGTTCCCAGAAAATATTGTTGATTTCTCAAAACGTGAAAAACTAGCCAAGCCTGGGGTGCATGCCTCTCAGCTCTCAGGAGGCTAAAGCAGGACAGTGAGTTCAAGGCCAGCCTGGGCTACATAGTGAAGACTTGTCTTAAAAATTAATTAAAACTGGGTTATAAATGGTTAAGGTTTGAAAGTTCAATGTAAAATCCGTGTGTTGTCATTTCAACTTGAAAAACAAATTAATAAAAAGTAAAAAAAAAAAAAAAAAATCCGAAGATAGGGCCAGTGAGATGACTTAGCAGGTAAAAGAACTTGTTACCAAGCCTGATGACCTGAGGTCAGTCCCCAGGACTCACATGGTAGGACAGAACAGACTCCCACAAGTTGTCCTTTGACCTCTGCACATGTGCCATGGCACTCTACACACACACACACACACACACACACACACTCACACAATATAAATAAATGCAAAAAATCCAAAGACAATCACCTGTATTAGTTAGTATTCAAATATATTTAAGATAACAGACGTATCATCCTTGTTCTTCAGAAGTCATCTGCCCTGCAGACCTTCCCACAGTAATGTATGATTCCTTCATGACTTCATTTGACCTTAGCCTGAAGAGGGTGTGG